CATGACTCTAGGTTCTTATGTTGATTATTGATATGCTTCATAAGTAGTTGGCATGTTAACACCATGGGTAGTGTTAAGCATGAAATGAGTATGATAGATTGTTGTAATGTATCAAAGTCATTTCACCTTTCATTGAGTTTCGATCTTGCAGATGCCATGGAGATTGAGGTATATTGTGTTTATAGTATTCGAACTATTATGTTACTAAGATTGAAAATTTTGCAGGTGTACGTTAACTAAGGTATGTTATTATGCGAATGAATATGCTAAATGACATATGTTGGTTGAAATGAACATGATTATGATTTCGTACAATGAACATGAATATGAAGTTACTTTGAAAATAATGATTTATCAAATTGTAAGACTAGTCGATGTTAGAGTCATGGAATAGGACCAAACTCACTCGAGTTTTGTGTGGATTTTTGAGCTTTGGGGTTAGGTCACCTCTTTTGAGAGAGTGACTGGTGATCCCAGAGAATTGAATGACGTTTTTGATGTCATTGTGAAACTTCGAGTTTTGTCGATGACCTCCTTGTTGGGGGTGCACTTCTCGAGATGGAGACTGTGAGAGTCATGAATGAGCTCATGGAGAAGATCCAAGAGGCACAAGTGCAGAGAAAGTGCCTGGACTACGTGAAGAACCAAGACGGCGTACCTTGGAATGAGGATGAACTTCTGTTGTTTCAGAAGCGTGTTGTGATTCCTCGAGGTCCTTTGACCAAAGAGGTTTTGGCGGAGGCCCATAAGGGACAATTTACTGTTCACCCTAGTGCTACAAAGATGTACCAAGACCTGAAGAGGAATTTCTGGTGGCCAGGAATGAAGAAGGACATAGCTATGTATGTGTCCAAGTGTTTGATCTGCCAGAAGGTGAAGATTGAACACCAGAAGTCGTCTGGTAAACTTCAACTTCTTGAGATTTCGGAATGAAAATGGGAGAGCATTGCCATGGACTTCGTTGTGGGTTTTCCTAAGACTCGGGCTGGCTGTGACTCTTTTGGGTCATCGTTGACATATTGTCTAAGTCTGCCCACTTTCTTCTGGTAAATGTGAGCTTTTCTTCAGAGCAGTTGGCCTAACTGTGTGTTCGCGAGATCGTGAGGCTTTACGGGGTGCCCGAGAGTATCTTCTACGATAGGGACCCGAAGTTCACATCTCGGTTCTGGGAGGCACTGCAGAGAGCTTTTGGAACTCAGTAGAGACTGAGTACAACCTATCACCCTCAGACTGTCGGACAGACTGAGCGGACCATCCAGATCTTGGAGGACATGCTGAGAGTTTGCATTTTGGGGTAGGGCTCAGCATGGGATAGGTACCTGGCATCGGTTGAGTTTTGTGAAATTGTGTTTTTCCTTGCTAGCCTGGGCATAGAACCCTGCGAGACGCTGTTTGGTAGGAGGTGTAGAACTCCTACCCGTTGGTCTGAGGTTGGAGATGAAGAGTTGTTTGGCTTGAACCTTGTCCAATTTACCACCCAGCAGATCCAGATGATCAGAGAAAAGCTAAAGTAGGCGCAGAATCGCCAGAAGAGTTGCTTTGATGTTAAGCATCGTCCACTGGAGTTCAGTAAGGGTGAGCACGTGTTTGTGAGACTTTCATTGTCACCGGTGTTGTTCGGGCACTCAGAGTGAGGAAACTGAGCCCGCGATTCGTTAGGCCATACCAGTTACGTGGTAAAGTAGGACCTGTTGCCTACCGGTTTGTGTTGTCTCTGAACTTGACCAACACCCACGACGTGTTTTATGTGTCTCAACTTCGCAAGTTTGTAGCGGATCCTTTGCACTTGGGGCACCCGGATGTTGTGGAGGTTCGGGAGGACTTGAAAACTCCCGTCGGACCACTCAAGATTTCTCGATCGTGGCGAGATGAAGCTGAGGAGCAAGACCATTTTGATGGTCATAATACAATGAACGGGAAGAATCCCCAAGGGTAATTCTGGGAGCGAGAAGGAGAGCTTCTCCGATAGTACCTAGCGCTTCGAGACATGTATGTTTCTGATTTTGAGGACAAAATCCTAAAAAGGTGGGGTGAATGTAAGAACCTGCACCGTTAATTAAGGAAATTAATCAGTTAATTATAAGTTTAATGAGATAATTCCATAATTGACCCTAATAATTATTTTGAGGCTCTAATAATTATAGTAAGTGAGTAATAATGCTGAAAGTCGCTTTTCTGACGAAAAGTGCAGATAACGGTTCTGCTAGTCGGTATAAATGCGTACCGAAAAAGTATCCCGGAAAATTATAAAAAGTACATGATAATTACTAGAATAATATGTAGGACTTGTAAAATGAGTTTCAAGTTAAAATAATGAGAACTGGTGCCAGAAACTGATACTGGCTATGAAAAGCGCATACCAGAAAGGTGCTCCAAAAAATAAAATAAAAATATGATAATTCTTGTAAAATTGAGTAGGTTAAGAATCCAAAGTTTGGGATTAAAATGATAAGCGTAGCAATTAAAGATAATACTGTGTGTTTAGTGGTTAAGTGACTATAAATACAATAGTTGGACACTAAACCCTAGGCCATACATTATCCTACGTGACTCTTGAGGGGTTGGTCAGCTGGTGCTTGGTGCTTGTGCCTTCCTTCACCTCTTTGGAGCCAAAGTAATCACCTTTGATGCTAGTTCCTTCATCTAAACAGTTGTGCATTGTTTGTGTGATCCTTGTGAGGGTGGAAGGGTGTTCCTTTTGCTGTCTTTGGCATCTGTGTGTTTGGGTCAATGACTGAGTTTGAAGTTTGAGTGTTGTGAGCCTTGGTCAAGGCATTTTGAGGTCCAAGTGGTGACCTTTGGTGAGAAAGAACCAACCTTGGAGGTGTCTTTTCGTGCTCTGTGTATAGTCAGTCTTGGGGAGCTGTTGGTGAGCTCCAAGAGCACTCCTTTCTCTGTTTTAAGCTTTGGGGTGAGTTACCTAACCTTGATCATGAGTTTTAATGGTTTAAAGGTGATGTCTTTGCATGTTAATGGGTTAAGCAAGTAACTAACATGTGTATGAACCTGTATAGACCTAAAAATGGAGTCTTGAACGCATTTAATTGGTAAAAGTTGGACCTTTGTTGGATATCTTCGCGAAATGCAGAAACTGCATTCTGTCGCGAAATATCCGGATATTTGGTCGATAAATATCCGAATATGGATATCTGGATATCCGGATATTGCGAGTGAGATATCCGGATATTAATATCTGGATATGCCCCCGACATATATCCGGATATTCTGGGTTTGCGAGGAACATTAGCTTACTGTTCAACCAGAACTGATGTTTTGGGGTCTGTGGACCCTAGATCGAGGAAGTTGAACTTCTGTATTATTGGACTAGTCTGAATCAAGTGATTAATTGCTTATGGCTTTGTGTGAAGCCTTAAGACGTAAAACGTAAAGAGAGGCGTTGTCTTTATGATGTATGCTTGTAGTGCATGTTTATTTTATTGGTCCATATTAGATTGTGATCTGCTGTGTTTGGACATTGAGCTTGGGTGGACTTGACTTGGATTGATTGCTTAAGAGGTAAGCTTTCGTGTCCTCGGTTTAGCCATGTTGTGGTTCCACCATGTCCCATTGGAGTATGGTTATATGCATGCTGTGTTACATGCTTTGAATATTTGAAATGCTGTTGAGCTTTATGTGTAATGGCTTTTAATATGCATGTGTTGTTCGATCTTGACGGTAAGCCTGAGTATGTGGCGTCATACAAGACGGTGATCCGGGGTGGATGCAAGTGGCGTCTTGCACTATGTGTGGGTATTTGGCGTATATAAATCCTGCATTTCTCTGGCCAGTAGAATAGAATTGACACACATGACATGATTATCTGCTACATTGCACTATTTTAGAACTGATGATGATAAACTGCTTTTGAACTTATATTGCACATGTAAGTGAGCTTGGGGTGGAAGATCCTTGAGGACCCCTTGCCTTACTGAGATTTCTTGTTTAGAGATCTCACCCCACGTTTGGGGAATGCTTATTTCAGGTTCAGGTAGTATGGGGACTAATGCCTCTGGCGGCAGGAGGCCAGAGCTTAGTTGATGATATTGTTGTTAGTTATGCTGACCTGTATGAATGCTGGATTTGGATGCTGTTTATGTTTTCTGCACTTATATGCTCATGTTGCTGTTGTTGGGACTGATGTTGGGCTTTGTTGCCTTGTTTGGGTGAGCATGGGGTTTGCCCATGCCATTTTGGGGTTAGTACTTTTAGTTAAGTTGTGTAAACTTTTAGATGGTCCGGTGTACGTATTGTAGTTCCGTGACTAGAGACTCATACTTATGTTATTTAACTAATGAGGTATTTCAGTTAGCTGTTTATTGCAATGTACATACAGGCGATGTTTTGAAAATGGTTAAGTAATCAAGTTGGTAATGATTAATGACATCATAATTGAAAAGAAAAAGATATTCCGCATTTTTAATTAAGCGCAGCTTAATACGATAGTATTATAATATTACCGTATATATACGGGGTGTTACAACGGAAGTGGCTGCGATAATGGTTGGTGGCGGAGACAATGGTAGCGGTGGCATGGTGGTGGTGGTTGTGATGGCATCATGGTGGTGGTGGTGGCAGTGGCTGCGACGGTGAGGTGGTGGTATATGACAATGGTGGTGGTGGTGGCGTGGTGATGGTAGTGGCGGGGGTGGTGTAATGGTGGCGATGGTGGTGGTGGTGACGGTGGTGGCTGTGACGATGGTGGTGGCGGCGGCGGCAGTGGCTGCGGCAGTGGAAGTAGTGGTTGGTGACATTGGTGGTGATAGTAGTGGTGGCGTCGTGGTGGTGATAGTAGTGACGATGGTGGTGGTGGCAGTGCGTAGCGATGGCGATGGTGGTGACGGCTGTAACAGCCCGTTACGTACTGGTGTTGTTAACATTGATTATGATTTTAAGCACAGTTACAATCACAGTAATTCATTTAAAAATGCGAGTAAACTTTTTTCTTTTTATTACGTAAGCATTTAAAACAATAATAAAACATAATAAAAAAAGTTGTGATCATAACTGAAATCTAAACGCAGAATAAATAAAATAAATGCCTAAAATAAATAAAATAAATGCCTTAGATAAGTGAAGCAAGTGTGCACCTATACAAGTTGCAACCTAGCTTCTTGCATTTCTACCACCTTTTCTGCTAACAGCCTCACATAACCGACATGGCAATGTGTCAAGGCTCATTGCTCGGGTTTTTCCATAGTTACCCAATACACCGCACCTTCTCCATGCATGGTATTCTGCATAGGCTACTGGATCATTAGCTACGGCCTTCACGTATGTAGCCAATTCTTTCAACGACCTGAATTTTCTACCATCTATGATTGAATATGGAGGAACAAAATCCATGACGTTTGGTGCACCAAAATAGATGGGAACTGCACCGGAGTCCAAGGCATAAAATAACTTCTCTGTCACGTAACTTTCAGTAAAAGTGTTCTCAATTGCAAGAACAAACTTGTAGTGAGACATGGCAAAATGGATATGATCCCACCATTTCGGTTCAACGTTGGCATCATATGCACATTCTGGATAGAAAGAAAGAGCCACGTTTGATCCACCAACATTATTTAGGCACTTGCCAAATGAATGATGCGGCACCAAGCCAAGGAACTTCTTTGCAAGTATGACCATTTGAGAAAGACATCGTGATGAAAACCAATAAACAAGTTTCTCCTACAAATGATAAATTGGGTTAGGTTACAATGAGTCCCTCTTTCTTAATCTGTCATTTAATTATCTTCTCAGTAAACTACTTACGTTGTTTTTCTTGTTGGAGATGTAATAGTTACGACTGTTGTGAAATAGAGTACCAGCATATGTTGACTGTACATCATCTTCAGCATGATAACTAATATATATATCCTTTCGTCCTGATCTCTTTCGGCCAGCTTCGAGATCCATGTATACACGAAGCGGTTCTCCCTTGTGTCTCTGAAAAAATAAAAAAATAAATAAAAAGCCATAACAAAGTAGGCCAAATACAATACCGCTGCATATATTATCAACCAAATATTTTTGAAAGTCTAACATGCATTCTGCAAGACAACCATGCATGAAGAATAGACAATAAAAGCATCTTGAGTACAAATTTAAGGAGACAGTGGGATTTTGAACAACTTAAAATAGGAAGTGCTTGTAAATCTCTTCTACAAAAATGCCCTTATCATTAATAAAGAAGAAAAATGAAGATGAGAGAAATAATTGTATCAAGCTAATTAACTCAGTATCAGTGGTGGATATTGTAAGCATGTTACTAACCACGTTTAAACACCCTGAAGGCTCAAACTAATAAATGTCTTGAGCCATATAAGGAAGTGCAGATATATACCACATTTATACTACCACATAAACTTTGTCTTGTTTCATATTTATTATGATTACTTATATTTATTCTGTGAATTAGAAGAATTGAAGACAACTGAACCGAAAAGGCATCTTAGTTGTTGACTTTTTTAAATCTGATCCCTGACAACAGAAAAATAGAATTACAGCCACAGGCACATAGTTTAACTAAATGGAAGAAAAACAGACCCAATCACAACTGAATGGTACAATGGTAGAGGTATAAACATGAAGGAACAAAAATGAAAAATGCAGCCCTTTTGTTTAAGAATCTCTGAAATAAAAAAGGACTCTTTTGCTATTCTTTTCTGTTTTTACATCTACCCAGCATTCCTAAATAAAATGCACTCCACAAAATAGCCAGCAAAACTTTTTAGAATTACTACGATAAATCATGATGAAGAAGTGCTACCTACCCATCCTATTCTAGCAAATAATCCTTGCCATGAAACCATTGTAGCAGATATCCATACATGCTAATGCTAGCTTATTGGAAGTCCAATAAAGAGCACTTAAGCACAGTTTTGGATGCTTTATTAAAAATTTCATATGCAAGATCCATTAACCTAATCTTCCCACAAAAAAGATCTCATAATTCCAGATAACACCACCTCGATGAGCTGATAACAGAATGCATAGTAACTTATCTGTCCCTCAAGCTATCAAAGCATGAGAAAGGGAAGAACGTTCATGTTAGAATATCTAAAAATATCTCATAATATCATTATTGAATTTTAGAATACTTTTAAAACATCTTAGATGATCTCTTAGTAGTGTTTCTATATTTCATGATTTGTTTCCTTAATTGAAATTAAGACTCTACTATTAGTATGCATAGAGATTAGTGTTTTGTCTTTTGTATCACATCACATCAAATCATCAATATAAATAACCAAATTTTATTCATAGTCCCTTTTATTCTCTTTTTTTCTCCTCCTCTACTTAAAAACCTAAAACTTCAACAGTTCCAAACAACAATGTTATCTCCTTCTATATATTGACCACAGGTTACAACAGCAGAAGAAAAAAATTATAGACTTGGGTTCTCAGTATCTGCTGAAAAGGATAATTCTCCTTATCATTACCACCAGCAGCTTCCCACTACTACCACTCCTTGTACACCAAAAGTACCACCAATGCATTATATTTCACATCGTAACTAGCTGTAGTTGTACAATAATAAATTTCCTCCTATTCATAAGAATGAACCTTTGTTCATCACGTCCTCTTATAAATATTTATAAATCAGAAGACAAATTTAGTTTTTACAAAAGAGTGACACACAATACCAGCTAGTTCAGTTATGAACATATACTTCTTAGCTAGCAATGCGACTTGCCAATGACCCAGATCTACTCCAATTTCAAGTCTTACATCAATTTAAGATGACTGATGCTCAAACAAATTACAAAAAGATAAAACTTGGGAAATTCTCACCATCTGTTGATTCAGCCATGAAAACTGAAACAACAAATAAAATTTTTTCAAACTCAAAAGAGATAATTACAAAACAAGGACCATTAATTGAACTCTAGGTAATGGTAGGGTAGATCACCTTGAGTCAAGGTCCTTGACAACCCTGCCACAGCAGAGACACCATTCAATCATTCATGTCCTTTCCAAACACAGTAAATTTCAAATTTCTAGACAAACCTTTCAACTCCAAAAAGCCCAGCATCATTGCCAAATCAAGCATTTCAAAATGTAGTTTGTGAAGAAAACTAGCATTCAAATTTAGATTTCCACCTAATCTAATGAAACTAGTGAAACTTTTCAACCAGAAACCTACCTGATTCGGAGGCGTAGATGTTTCAAACAACAAAGCATCAGGCTTGTCGGCAAGAACCGGCGATTTGGTCCACAAACAACTCAACCCACATCGACAAGTGTACAAGTTATCCAAATTATGGTTCATCGTGAAATGGTGGAAAGTGAGTTTGGTAGGAAAATGTTAAAAAAAGTTGTTTGGTTGAAAAATATTTTACTAGGTAAATTAGGTAACAATTATAAAATCTATGTTTGGATGTAAGTAAAATATAGATAGGAAAGAAAGTTTATATTACAAAAATAACCTTGTTTTCAAAATATTTTGAATCAGGCATTCTATGCTTTATCCGTAAACAGGTTGTCATGTCCCACTAAAAAAGTGTAAGTTGCCAGTATCTTCAAGAAACGAAGAATATAACAGCATATCTTCAAGAAACGAAATGTTAAGGGGTACGCTGGTCATCTGCAACTTGGACAATGATGAAGATATCTAGATAAGTCGCAAACCCACATAAGAAGTGAGATTATTTGGGTGGGTTTTTGGTTACAGATAGACTTGCAAATATGAAGATCTAGGGAAATGATTTATGTAGCCAAGTATGAAACCTGTTCAACCAAACATGGTTGTCCAACAATCTCACTTCTAATTTACCCATCTATTTCAACAAATTCCATCAACCAAACGCTCCCTTAAACTTAACTGGGGTTGAGATTATTGAGAGGTTATTTGGATAAAGTATGTAAGTATATAAGTTAGAGGGAAATAAAAGTATAATGTTGTAAGAAAGTGTTTAGGTTATGTTATAGAAATAGAGACTGTCAGACTTTTATTTTTTTATTTTTGAAAATAAGTGTGGGTCCTCCACATTTCTATCTCTATAATATAACCTAACATTTTCTTACAACATTATTCTTCTTTTTCTCTAAGTTAAATTTAACAAAAGTAAAAAAAAAAATGATGTTGACCTCATTTAATCCATCCCAACTAGTAAGTTTAAATTATTATAATTACTAATTTTTTTTTTATTTTTAAGTTTATTTAAAATGTTTGAATATTTAAATACAAATGAACGGATCTGAATATGGATCAACTTTTATTTAGCTTAACCCACACCAGGCCAGCCCAAATTCATAACCATGGGAAGGGTGCCCTGATAGTCTTTAAACAAAAAAAATCTTGCTATAAAACAAGTTGTTGGGTTATTTATGCTTTAGCGCTCCATGCGGTGAAAATTTTGGGCCTGTTTTCTGTTTCATAAAATAACTTGTTAATTTACAAAAAAAAAAAAAAATGTTTGATAATGAGTGTTTTGTAAAAATAACTCTGAGAATAGCATTTGATTTCTAGGTTTTAGAACAGCAATTAGAGAACATTGCTAAGATATTTTTGGTCTGATTTTAATTTTATATTCTCAAAATAATAAAAACACAGAAAAAGTTATTTTCATGAATGGCAAATTTAAAGTTATCAATCGATCCTATAATATAGCTAGAACAGTGAAATACGCGAAAAAATTCTCAATTCTTCGGCTTGTTTTCGTTGTTTCTATTTGTTTGCTTTTATAGGCCCATTTAAAAGGTCACTCCCTGCCTTTTCAGAATTAGACATTTAGACCATCACAACAAAAGATGTCTTATACCCTTCGCAGCCCACCTCTCATTTCACGTCTGGGAGATGCCTTTGCCTCATGCATTGCAGCGGGGTTCATTGGGTAAAAAAGTTATGGCTCTTTCATGATTAGAGTATCAGAAATAGTTTTTTCATTTTACATGAGAAAATTTTCTCATGCTATACTCATAATATATGAGTGGGTCTCATCTTGACTTTTTTGTCTTCTCACCTTTTTGTGGACCCCACTCATGTATTGTGAGTGTAGCATGAGAAAATTTTCTCATGTAAAATGAGAAAATTAATTCCCTATATGGGCTTTACATATCTCATTTAACATGAGGTTAAAAAATCTCCTACACACACATAATTTTAATGGGTCCCACCATAAACAAAAAATAAAAAAATATTGCATGCAAAACGAACTCTCAGTGACATGAGAAAATAACTCTCCTGTTAAAGGAGAAACTGTTTTCCGTATATATATATATATAATATTACACGCAAAACGAACTCTCAGTGACATGAGAAAATAACTCTCCTGTTAAAGGAGAAACTGTTTTCCGTATATATATATATATATATATATATAATATTACACGCAAAACGAACTCTCAGTGACATGAGAAAATAACTCTCCTGATAAAGGAGAAACTGTTTTCCGTGTATATATATATATATATATATATATATATATATATATATATATATATATATATATACCTCCTCTTTAATCATTAAACGGGCATCTTGCTTCCAACATTTTATAAAGTGTTAGCTCTTTGACAAAATGAGTATTATTGACCCTTTAATTTTCTTATTTGATATTCGATTCCCAGTTTTTATTAATGGGCTTATTTTTATGTTTGTGTAGAAAAATTACTTGTGTTATGTAATATTATCCTAGTTTGAATTCATGTGGGGCCAGCAAATTTGAGTGCCGCCCCCACCATGGCGGAACACACCTTTTTTCTTTTTTGTTTTTTGTTTTTTGGTCATTTCCTCGTTCTTTTTCACCGCAACGTTTCCCATCTTATCTCTTCACTGCAAATCGTTACCCCAAACAAAACACTGAGGTTAGCAGTAAGAGTCTTCGAAATTTCTTTGCTTTGTTAATCAACGTTAAAGCTTCCATAATAATGATATGTCTTATTATGCAGGTTGTGTTTCTTCAGTACATTCGGGAACGTTTGTGTTTCTTCAATACATTTTTGGTAGCAGTAGCATCTTCGAAAAAAAAAATTCACAACAACAAATTTGATACTGAGAGATAAGTAGGTAATCAATTATCATTTGAAATAAAACTTTGTCAGTAGGTACATTTTTAAAAAAACCTTGAGTAGGTAGCTTTATTGAAAACCTTGACCGGTAAGTACTAAGTAGGTACCAAGACTGTTTAAACCTATTTTTTTAGTTTATTTGTGTATTAATAGAATAATAGCTATAATTTACTAAAAAAATGAATAATAGCATTATTCTTGTTTAAACTTTTATTTATGTACTAAAAAAAAGTTGAACACCTTAGATTGCGCTTCAGACATGTTTAAAGATAATACAATTATAGAGCTCTACATGTTAAATAATTGAGTCATGAAATAATTTTTTTAAATATTTTAATTTAGTTAGAATGTGAAATACACAATTTTAGAGAGAGAAAATAATTTTTTAAATAGATAATTAAAGAATATTTAGATAACTACATAATAATTAGATAATTACATAATAATTAGAGAATTAGAGAATAATTAGATATTTATATAATATTTAGATATATTCTAACACAAGCATGTGTAATATCTAGATATTTAGATAACAATTAGATATTTGACATGTGTAATTACATAATTAGATAATATTTAGATAATTACATAACAATTAGATAATTAGATAATTAGATAATATTTACATTTATTACAACCAAGCATGTGTAGTGTTTAGAGATTTAAATAATAATTAGATATTTGACATGTGTAAGTAGATAATTTAAATAATATTTAGAAAATTATCTAATTAGATAATTATCTAATTAGATAGTTGGATATTTAGATAATTAGATAATAAATAAATATATGACATGTGTAAATAGATAATTACATAATATTTAGATAATTAGATATTAGGATAATATTTAGATACATTCTAACACAAGCATGTTTAATTAATTATATTTAGATATTTGACATAATAATTAGTCATTGATTAGTAGTGCTTAATTTTTAATAATATGATTTAGAATAATTGATCTGTGATTAATATTTGGGGTTTCTTTTAATTAGTGAATTGTTATTATAATTTCTTAAATTAATTCTGGTGTGTTATCACTTTATAGTGTGTTAATAACATTATTTATATTATTATTATTATTATTATTATTTAGGGATGGCATGCGATGATTCATCTGATTGACGTCTTCATCTTGGTCCTCACGACAACTCTGTATTATTAATGCAATCTAGACACTGTTATGAGGTTGCCTGGGTGGAGGAACCAAATTATAGGTATCTCACAGTTAGATGTGCATGGTTGGCAGGGTTGGATGTTATTACAAAGCCCATTGTACCTTATTTACGCCGTGCCTATTTTTTTGGTGTTGCTCATATGAGCCGTATGGAGTTATTTTTTATGCTATATATATAAAATTAATATAAAAAAACTATCAAATTATTTAAATGAATTAATAGATTAATATTTTATTGTTTGCAGATTGATAGTTTATTAGTCATAGCTCTAGTTAAGTGATGGAGATCAGATACTCATACATTTCATATGATTTTGGGAGAGGTTACTGTGACACTCGAGGATATTGTAATAATCATCGGTCTTCCTACAGACGATGTACCTGTGACTGGCATGTCCAAAACACGAGATTTGACACGTTTGGTTCCATAACTTCTTAGGAGGACCCTGATGCATCTGATTTGAGGGGGAGTTCTCTTAAGACATCATAGTTGGATCAACATTTTGCAAATGTCGAGGATTTGATGCAGGGTGAAGAGGATCTTCTCCGCTTCACGCGAGCATACATATTACGCCTAATTATTATGTAAAATCTCTATATATTATTAATTACACATGCCTATATTTGGATAATACAAAAAAATTAATTTAAAAAATTATAAAAACTATTCACTAATTAAAAGAAGCCGTAAATATTAATTACAAATCAATTATTTTAAATTACATATTAAAATACTAAACACTACTCATCAATGAATAGTTATTATGTCAAATAACTAAATATAATTAATTGCACAAGAAAAAATAATAATTGCATCTAATAACTAATTAAAACACCACCCCCTTTTATCCACACAGCAGTCTTGGGAACACCTCTTACAGTCTTGGTTCTAGGCATTGCTGTGGGTACCACTACAACAACCATTACACCATTCGGGTACATATTTGACCCTCTCCTTAGAGTACTGAACGGTCAAATTTAATACATCAAACACGCTTAAGTCATGTATGGTGTATCAAGTTAATCATATCATTCATGATTATAAATTAACAATTAATTGTTTGATTAAGATGTACTAGGTTTATATATCACACCAATTACGATGCATATTAAGGCTCATTTGGTGGACATGATAGAATAAGGGTAAGATATGATATGGGACTGATAAGGATAGGATATGATATGAGGCTGATAAGTTTATATCATGTCTTGTGTTTGATGAGCACCTGATTAACAATCAGATAAGATGATGTTCAAAAAAAAAAAAACAATCAGATAAGATTATGTAGAAGGAGAAAGGAGAAAGAAAAAATAAAATATAATGCAATAAATACAAATATATTGAATAGTGTGGGGATATATTGGGTAGCGTGGAGATATATTGAGTATCCAATATTAGTATCATATCCTGTTGAATCCTAACCCAGCTCCCCCGTAGGATAAGAAATCATGTATTAGATAGGATAAAATGAGACAATATGATAAACTAATCATATCCTATTGACCCACCAAATAAGAGATAAAAGTAGGATATGATAAGTTATCTTATCTTATATTCTTTAGCAGGTGCTCTAAACAGACTCTTATAGTTCTATATGTATGCAAAAAGAAATTAATATAAACACTCAAAATAACAATTAATATGTGTAAATTTGTACATATCTTATTCAATATATATGCATTGTGCGCGAAAAAAATTCCATACTATTATTTAATAATAGCATCATTTAATGATAGTATTCAATAAATGACAGTATAATTGTTTTTACATCAACAGTACATTAAAATTTTTTTACTCAAGAATATATCTTTTAAAAAAATGTATTTATGTACATACAATACGTGTTAATTTGAGTATTTACGGAAAGTGATGCCTAACCAAAAATTTAGCTTTAATACAATTGTAAATTTCCCTAACAAGTGTCCTCAGAGTACTTTAATAATTAAAAAAAGTATTAAATTTTTTATGTGATCTCAACATAGTCAATATTTTTAAAATAACATATTTTTGTTTCCTTAATTAGGAGGTGTTTGGTTGAAGGGTTTTTTTAGGATTCCTAAGAAATTGAAGGTGGTAATCTTATTTATCCACGTTTGGTAAGAGACTTATGAAAATTTCTAGGAAATCTGATTTTCTCGTAATTTTATTCTGTATGTAAAATTTTCTGAAAATACCATCTAAAAATACCACCTACTGGGTGATATTCTATGATTCCCATTGGAAGAAAAAATTTAATATAATCGAACATAACATCAAGAAAATTAATCCAATATTTTTGAAAATATTTTGACATACCAAATAACTTTTTGGTAACATTCTCAAAAAACTCAATTTTTCATCATATTCCTATAAATTATGATTTTTAGTTAAAAAAATTTTCCTCTTCCAAACACCTCCTTGTTAAAAGGGCATTTGTTCGCAAAAATGTAATTCATTTTAGTAATATATTCAAATGAATTTAAGATGCATTTAATTTTACTTGACAACGATTAAGGGTGTAAATGGGTTAGGCCGGCCTAGTCTATATTAGGCCAGATTTGGCCTATTACAAATAGTAAAATAGAATAAGCATAGGCTTTTAAAGAAACCTATTTAGAAAACAGGGCATATGCTTTTTTATACATGTCGGGCCTATAAGCCTATAGACCGGCATATATCTTATTATCTATTTTAAATAAAATAAATAAAATTATTATTTTAATAATTTTGAATAATAAAGTAATATTATTTTAGTTATTCTTTTAATTGTTAAATGTTTAACAGGCTTAAACAGGCTAACAGACCTAGGTCAAGACTTTTATTTTTTAAATATAGGTCAGATCAGACTTGTAATTTGGGGCCTACATACTACACAGGCTAACAGGCCAAACTCAATATTTTTTATACAGATCTGACCTATTTAAGTCAAAGCCTAAGCTATTTACACCCTTAAATCAATGATGAATTATGAAAATGAAAATTTGTTGTGTAGATAAAAAATTTAGTAGTACATTTTACCTGAAGCCTATCAATTAGTTCTTTCGTATTGGTTAGGTTTTGTTAATGCCTCACCAAACATGATAAAACCCACCTGCCCCCAAATCTTGTTATTTAAATAGGACCCGTGGGGCTGTAACTACTTAACTGGTTTGATAAGCCAAAATATAAAGAACAATACTAATAACTAATGGAAATAGGTACTCAAAGTTTCTGTAAAAAGATGGGTTAGGGGGAACCACGCGAACTTTTCTTCCTCTCTGATAGGGCACAGGCTGCTGCATTTTGTCTTCGTTTGTTCTTCATTTGTTTCGTCTTTCTCATGGAAGCTATGAAAGGTAATATTGATGAGGAATCTGCTGGTTCTAGGAAAAGCGTGAAGCGATCTAAAGATGGTGAGGAGTACTCCTCAGTGGGTGCCAACCGTGGAGCGACCCTAGGCTTCCCAAAAGAGGATCTGCCAAATGGGAAAGCAAAATCTTGGGTCCAAATTATAGGAGCTGAAAACGGGGTGTCAGGGGAGGAGATATGTGTTCCCTTAGATCCCATAGAAGGTGAAGTCACGGATTGGGGGTTCCAAATGGTTGTTGAGGAAGATGGCTGCTACAACATCAAATGTACCAAAGAAGCTAAGGCTAGGATGAGAAAACCTTGGCAAAATGCCCTCATTGTAAAACTCCTCGGCAAAAAAGTGGGGGTAAGCTTTATGAAGAAAAAATTGGAATCTTTTTGGGCAAAGTCGGGATCAATTACTGTTGCTGACCTGGGAAATGAGTTCTACTCAGTGAAATTTGCGAATGTGGAAGACCTTACGCTTGCTATAACTGGTGGGCCGTGGATAATATTTGGTCATTATTTAGCTGTTCGGAAGTGGGAACCCTGTTTTGACCCTGATCATGCCAATATACACAAAGTGGCTGCTTGGATCCGCCTTATACCACTAGAATTTTTTGAATTTCAATATTTGAATTTTTTTGGTAATCTGTTGGGAACGGTGCTGAAAGTCGATAGAACAACTTCTACCGGAGATAAAGGTCGCTTTGCTAGGGTATGTCTAGACCTAGATCTATCCAAACCTTTGATTGGTGAGTACAAGCTAGAAGGAAAAATGAAAAAAATTGAATATGAGGGCCTGTACCTTATCTGTCTCCATTGTGGTCGGTATGGCCATAACATTGAGGGATGTACTGAGCTAGTTAAAAACCAGAACCCAGTTGATATAATGTTGCAGTGGATAAACCTTCAGAACAATCTAATGACCAGTCTTCTAATCACGGAGTGGGCCCTTGGATGATTGTTCAAAGGAAGAAAAAAACCCAAGCTTCCAAGGAACAAAAGACCCATTCTGACAACAGGAGCTTTGGTGTTGACTTGACAAACAAGGCCACTTCTACCCCTCCCAAAATAGTGAAGAATAAAACCTTTGGTAAATTCCATCAAACCACCCCACCTAATTCTACCTCTCCTGGTCCCTCAAAAGGGATTAACCAACCCACTACCAAAGACCCAGTAATGTTTTTCTCAGCAAAGGCCAATGAAAACAAGCCAGGAAAAAGCAATTACCAAAGATTGAAAACAAAGGTGGTGGTACCCAACAACCATCCCCCTCATTCTTCTATTCCTCATCAAGTGGGTTCTACTGGTGACCCTGCTGTCAATCTTTCATCCAATAGAAAGAATGCTTGGAAGCCTATCATCCCTCCTGTCTCTAAAGGGGATAACACAGAGACAAAGACAGTAGCTGGTATTAGAAAGGATAAACTGGTTTCCTGCTTGCCTGCTAAAATCCATGTCTCTATGGAGCTGAAGCAAACTGATGAAGTGCTGGAGGAGCTCTTTCCTAATCCTAAATGTTCCTATTCTTCAATGGAAGAGGGTATCTCTAGCCAGGTGCAGGCTGCAGAAGCTGGAAAGTCTGAGGATGAGCCACTCGATCCGAATGCTAAAGTTGAACTGTCTAGTATATGTAAAACTACATGCATGGAGACGGATGGAATGATCATTGAACAAAAAGAGAATGATAGTGCTTTAAGTTCCCAGGTACTCTTAAACCCTGGAAACCTTAACCCTTATCAATGAATGGCTTAGTCTGGAATTGCAGGGGAGCAGCTAAGAAGCCTTTTAAATCTACCTTGAGGAACTTCACAAAAAAATACAAAGTAGGTTTGGCTGCTATCCTTGAGCCCATAATCAGTGGTGCAATATCTTTGCGTAGAATTAATCAGCTAGGATTCAAATCCTATTTGATTGAAGATGCTATTGGTTACATGGGGGGTATTTGGTTGCTTTGGAATAAAGATCAATTCTCAATTGAGCTCATTGAAAAGTCTAATCAACTTATCCATGTTAACTATTTTGACAGCAATGGTATGAATTTTGTTCTAACTGTGGTCTATGCCAGCCCCAGAGAAGAGGTGAGACAAGACCTTTGGAAGGACCTCCGTAGAATAAGCAGTAATTTATCTAAGCCCTGGATGGTAATGGGTGATTTCAATGAGATCATGTATGCTAGGGAGAAAAAAGGGGGTATTCCTGTGAATCTGTCCAGATGTCTCAACTTTGTTGGAGTTCTTGATGGTTACAATCTGATGGATATTGGTTGTGCAGGCTCTAAATTTACTTGGAGAGGTGCTAAATGCCTCCACCTGGAGAGAGTTTTTAAAAGGCTAGATAGAGTGTGTGCTAATGCTTCGTGGAGAACCATCTTTGGAGAAGCCAAGGCTCGTACTCTTCCTAGATTGAACTCTGACCATAACCCAATTCTTCTATCTCTCTACCCTACTGAGTCTAATTGGAGGGAAAGGCCGTTCAGATTTTTGGCTGCTTGGCAGGACCATGTTAATTTCATTCCTTTCCTCAAATCTACCTGGAATATAAACTCCAATATTTTTGCAGCCCTGACCAATCTGGTTGCTCCTCTCAAGGATTGGAATATAAATGTTTTTGGCCACATCCAAACAAAAAAAGAGGACCTCATCAACAAGCTTCAGAAGGCTTAATCTGAGTCCTAAAGGGTTAATGGTGAGGTTGCCTTAGCTTTAGACCAAGCCCTCCAAAATGAAATCAGTGCTGTTCTAGAAGAGGAAGAGAGCTTGTGGTTCCATAAGGCTAAGTGTAAGTGGATAGCTGATGGGGATAGAAATACGAAGTTCTATCATACCACCACCATCATGAAAAGGGCTAGAAACAAGATTTTGGAGTTGAGAGATGATGCTGGCAGTTTGCTGAGGGATGAAATATCTATTATTAACATTGTGCTCTCCTTCTATAAATCCCTATTCACTGAAGATAACCTGGACAGACCTTGGCACGTAACTAAGAAAACATGGCCAAATCTGGAGAGATGGGATTTACAGTTTATGGCTGCCCATATTACCAATGCTGAGATCTATAAGGCCTTCTTTAGTATGGGTGCCTTAAAAGCCCCTGGTCCGGAAGGGTTTCCTACTTATTTTTACCAAAGGAACTGGGATCTTATTGGTGGTCAAACCATGGCTTCTATTCATCAGTTTTGGAAGAACCCAGCCAGCTTGGATACCATCAATAAAACCTTGTTGGTCCTCATCCCCAAGGTTGCAAAACCTGAGAAAGTGGCCCAATTTAGGCATATTGCCTTGTGTTCTGTCCTATACAAGGGTATCAGCAAGCTTTTGGTAAACAAACTGAAACCTTTTCTGCATAAAATTATTTCCCCTCATCAGGTCAGTTTTGTCCCAAAGAGACACATTCAGGACAACATCATCATTGCCCAAGAAATGATTCACTCTATGAGGAGAATGAGAGGTAAGCGTGGTTTCTTTGCTATAAAAATTGATTTGGAAAAGGCTTATGACCGCATCTCGTGGGGCTTTATTAAAAAAGTTCTGGAAGAAATCAATATTCCCTTGGATTTGGTTAATACTATCATGAATTGTGTAAGAACCTGCACCGTTAATTAAGGAATTTAATTAATTATTTATGTGAAATTAGGAAATGATTCCATAATTGAACCTAATAATTATTATGAGGATTTAATAATTATAATTAGTGAGTAAGTATGTTGAAAGTCGCTTTTCGGAAGAAAAGTGCAGATACCGGTTCTACTAGTCAGTATAAATGTGTACCGGAAAAGTATTCCGGAAAATTATGAAAAGTGATTATATATTATGGGAATAATATATAAGACTTTGAAAACGAGTTTCAAGTTAAAATAATGAGAATTGGTGTCTGAACTGATACCGGCTTGGCAAAAGCGCGTACCGGAAAGGTGCTCAGAAAAATATAATAAAAATATGTTAATTCTTAGAAAAATGAGTAGTTTCAGAATCCTGAGTTTGGGATTAAAATACTAAGCGTAGAAATTAAAGTTAATACTGTGTGTTAATTGGTTAAGTGACTATATATAGGCTTATTAAGGGCACAAAACCCTAGAAACCAGAATTCCTACGTGAAGTGCTTAGGGAGGCTGACCAGAAACTTGGTTCTCTTGCATTCCTTCCCTTGGCTTCAAGCCTTGAAGCTTCTCCCTTTGAGTTTTCTTCCTCTTTTCTTGCAAACACTTGGGTGAGTGCTTGGAGAGGGTGAGTGTCAGCTGGTGTTGGGTTGGAGGTGCTGTTTGGGGAAAGTTTGAGGGCTGTGTTGGTTGGTTTGTGTTGGTGGAGCCATAGTCATGGCATTTTGAGGTCCAAGTGATGACCTTTGGTGAGGAAGAACCAACCTTGTGAAGGCCTTTTCGTATTCATTGAAAGTCAGAACTGTGAGGAGCTATTAGTGAGCTCCAAGAGCATCTCTTCCTCTGTTTTGAACCTTTGGTGATTTGTCTAACCTTGATCATGTGTTTTGATGGGTTAAAGGGGGTATCTTTGCATGTTAATAGGTTAAGCAAGTAACCAACTGATATGTAAACCTAAGAGGGTATAAAAATGCATGCTTTTAACGTGTTTAAGTGTCAAAAATGGAACCTTGGAAGGATATCTTCGCGAAATGCAGAAACTGCATTCTGTCGCGAAATATCCGGATATGGGGTTTTGATATCCGCATATGGATATCCGGATATGGTATCCGGATATGCATATCCGGATATGTCCCCGACATATATCCGAATATTCTGAGTTTGCGAGGAACAGTAGTTGTACTGTTCATACAGTAGGCTATTGGGGGGTTTGTGGACCTAGTTTGATGAAGTTGAACTTCTGTAATTAATGAACCAAGTCAGAATCAAGTGATTAAGGGCTTGTGGCTTTGTTGGAAGCCTTAAGACGTAAAACGTAAAGGAAATGCGTTGTCTTTAAGTTGTATGCTTGTAGAGTTTGTATATTAACATGTTATTGATCCATAATAGATTGTGATCTGCTGTGTTTGGACTTGAGCTTGTGGACTCTTGGCTTTGGGTGTTAGCTTGCAAGGTAAGCTTTCGTGTCCTCGGTTTAGCCATGTTGTGGTTCCACCATGTCCCATGGGGGTGTGGATATATGCATGTTGTGTTACATGCTTTGGATATTTGAAATGTTGTTGAACTTTACATGTAATGGCTTTTAATATGCATGTGTTGTTCCATCTTGGAGGTAAGCCTGAGTATTGTGGCGTCATACAATACGGTGATCCGGGGTGGATGCAAGTAGCATCTTGCACTAATTGTGGGTAATAGACGTATACTTATTCATGCATTTCTCTGGCCAGTAGAATAGAATTGACACACATGACATGATTATCTGCTGCATTGCATTGTTTTAGAAATGATATTGATGAACTGCTTTTGAACTTATATTGCACATGTAAGTGAGCTTGGGGTGGAAGATCCTTGAGGACCCCTTGTCTTACTGAGATTTCTGGTTTAGAGATCTCACCCCACGTCTGGGGAATGCTTATTTCAGGTTCAAGTAGTATGGGGACTGATGCCTCTGGCGGCAGGAGGCCGGAGCTTAGCTGATTTATGCTTTTACTGCTTATTTGCTAGCATGACTGGATTAGATGTTGTTTATGTTTTCCGCATTGAGATTATGTTGTTTGTGTTGAGACTGATGTTGGGCTTTGTCGCCTTATTTGAGTGAGCATGGGGTTTGTCCATGTCACGTGATGTTTGTACTTTCAGAGTTGTATAAACTGCTAGTTGTCTGATCTACGTGTTGTAGTTCCGTGACTAGAGACACACTTATATTATTTATGTTATGAGGTATTTCATTTAGGTGTTTTATTGCAATTACATACAGGCGATGTTTTATTAATTGTCTAATAAGCAAGTTGGTAATGATAATGACTTCATAATTGAAAAGAAAAGGATATTCCGCATTTTTAATTAAGCGCAGCTTAATACGATAGTATGATAACATTACCGGATATATACGGGGTGTTACAAATTGCATTTCCTCAACCGAACTTGACATTCTTTGGAATGGTGGTAAAGTTGGTTCTATTAGGCCTAGTAGAGGTCTTAGACAAAGTGATCCAATTTCCCCCTATATCTTTGTGCTTTGTATGGAGAAGCTATCTCACATCATAGCTGACGAGGTGGATAATAAAACCTGGATCCCTATGACAGCGGGCAAGGGAGGTCCTAAGATTTCTCATCTCCTTTTTGGTGATGACCTTTTGCTGTTTGCTGAAGCCTCTGAAAGTCAGATTGCTAAAGTAATGGAGTGCTTGGATCTCTTTGGAACTATTTCTGGCCAAAAGATCAACAAAGAGAAATCTAACATTTTTTTCTCAAAAAAAATGTTATGATACCTTGGTTGGGAAGATTGTTGACTTGTGTGGCTTTGCTCCTACAAAAAATGTTGGCAAATATTTAGGGACTATGGTGAAACATGGTAGAGTCAACAAAAGTATGTTTAGTGACATTATGGTGAGAGTCCATAATAGATTAAATGGCTGGTCTAAGCAAAATCTCTCTATGGCAGGGAGAGTGATTCTTGCCAAGGCTGTCATCTCTTCCATCCCCATGTTCCATATGCAAAATGGCCAAATTCCTTTGGGCATCTGTGATGAGATTGAGAAATTACAGAGAAGCTTCATTTGGGGAGATACTGCTGTGAAGAGAAAAACCCATCTTATCTCTTGGGAGAAAATTTGTTCTCCCAAGCAGGTTGGGGGTCTCGGTCTTCCTGTGCTCAAGTATCAAAATGAAGCCTTCCTCCATAAACTAGCTTGGTCTGTTATTAGCTCCCCTTCCCATTTGTGGGTCCAAGTTTTAGTTGCTAAATATGGCAGAAATAAGGATTTGCAAAGTAATTCTATTAGCAAACCTTATGATTCTAGCCTTTGGAAGAGACTTTGCAAAATCCGGCCTAATTTTCTTAAGGGGCTATCCTGGGAAATTGGTGATGGGCAGAAAGTTAATTTCTGGTTGGACAATTGGATCAGTGGCATTCCTAATCTCCTGAGTGTTGCTAATCATCCTCCTCATCCCCTCTTGCTGAATGATTTGGTGGTGGACTGCATCAGAAAAGACTCAGGGAACTGGAACTTTAACCTTCTAGCTAGTTTCTTTGACCAAATCAGTTGTGAACAGAATCATTGCTATCCCTCCTCCTTCGGCTGTTGCTGGTAGGGACTGTCTTACCTGGCCAAATGTTAATCCTTCAACTTCTTTGGTCAAGCATGCTTATTCTAGAATTATGGAGTTTAATGATACATCATCTGACTTCCCTTGGAGCAGAATCTGGAAGTGGAAGGGTCCAGAAAAAATTAAGTTTCAGATTTGGAAAATATCTCATGGTCGTCTGCTAACTAAAACCAGATCTGCAGTGTGGGGCAATGGCACTGATAAATGCCATTCCTGTTTGGATAAGATGGAAACAATTCTCCATGCCTTAAGAGATTGCCCTTGGGAAGCAAGGGTGTGGAAATCTCAATTTTTTCATCCTTTGCCTTCTTTTTTCTTCTCTGATATGGATCTGACTTCCTGGTTAAAAAAAATATTGATTATTTTGATGAAAGGGGTACTGATTGGAGGGACCTTTTCTTTGTTACCTGTTGGTTCTTGTGGCTGTGGAGAAACAAAGAAATTCATGATGATAATTTC